GAAGCAAACGCCACGGAACTGTGGTGGGGAAAGAAGCGCATTTGGGAAATGATGAGGCGTGATTTATTTATGTATTTATTTATTTATTTATTTATTCCTTTTTTCAATTTTTTATATGTATTTATTTATCTATCTATTTATTTATTTATCTATTCATTTATTTATTTATTTATGTATTCATGTATTTATTTATTTATTCTGGGAGGGAGGTAGATATGGCTTTTGGATTTGTTTTTTTAAAGGGGCGCGGAAGCATTTTTTTTCCGAAGCCCAGGAAAGCCATTATGTTTTATATATAGCTTTTAGAAGAAAAAAATCATTCTGAGCAAATTAACTTGTCTTGCTTTTACCATCCGCGTCCAAAATGGTGTAATTATGCACTATTGGTAAATGTTTTACGGCGCTCGCAACTGCATAAGGTCATATGAGGTTGTGCGCTCTGATATACTTCCACGTCCCCGAACGCAAAAAAAAAAAAATGTTTGTTGTCATTCTCAGTAAACTAAAATTAAATGTCCTTAATGTATGAGCCACAGCCTGAACATACCGTGGCCAGCTGTTTGTTTGAGGGGGGGAAAAAGAGAGCATATAATATTATAATCTGAGACACTTCGCTGTGTTTTCAGCTTCAAGAAAGTTGTGTTGCAGAGTCCAGGGAAAAATAACACAGTTTTATTTTTAAGTGGTGGCACAGAGTTCCCCCACGTCGTATGGATGCGATAGTAAAACACGACGTACGGATAGGGTTAAGTGGTGGCACAGAGTTCCCCCACGTCGTATGGATGCGATAGTAAAACACGACGTACGGATAGGGTTATAGTTATGGCTTTTTTTTGGGGGGGGGGGGTTAAGGGGCACGGAAGCATTTTTTTCAGAAACCCATCAAAACCATTATGTTTAATACAGCTTTTAGAAAAGAAAGAACAATTCTGAGCAAATTAGCTTGTTATGCTTTTACAATCCTTGTCCAATATGGTGTGATTATGCGCTCTTGGTACGTGTTTTACGGCGCTCGCAACTGCATAAGGTCATATGAGGTTGTGCGCTCTGATTAACTTCCACGTTCCCAAAAGAAAAAAATGTTTGCTGTCATTCTCAGTAAACAAAACATGAAGACTCCTCTGGGGAAAAAACGGGCATCGTTACAAACTGGAAACTGGGAGAGTGTCAATTTTAAAAGCTTGTGGACTCATAACTTCACATTTCTTTGACTGGTGGTTTATTGTATATGTTAGTTGAAAGGGAAATCTAACAAAAAAAATCAACCAACAGCTGAACAGAAATACAGTTATGAGCCAACAAGCGTTCAAAATTGGTACTGTCTCGATTTTCAGTTTGTGGCTCTGCCCGTTTGTTTGTTTTTACAGTGGACTCCTCAAATATGTCCTAAGTGTAAGAGCCAAAGACTGAACTGACAACATACTGTGGCTAGCTATTTGTTTGAGGGGGAAAAGAGAGCATATTACGGTCGCGTTTAAGCACAAGGGGGCTATCCCGAAAATTGCTATTTTGAGAAAATCGAAGGTACAGTTTTTGCCTCTTGTCTGTCACCGTTGTTGTATGCAAGAAAAATTCTGAAATTCAGAAAAACTGAGCCCAAAAAATGTGAAAATGTGCGTTTCTATTAATTTTTTACAAAGAATGATAAAGGAAAATAATCAAAACAATTATGCAAAAAAATGATCAAATTTTGCTAAATTATGCGGGGGGCATAAAACCGCGGGGACAGCTTTGTTCAGTTTCAAAAGACAAGGAGAATTTTCTCTCCAAACAGATATACACACCAATGAAACCAAACTTCTCCTATACGTAGGGCAATGCCCACTTTTGCTGAAGGTCAAGATTACAGGAAACCCTTGAAATCTAGGTAAGACTGCTTGTCCTTAAAAGCGACCGTATAATCTGAGGCACTTCACTGTATTTTCAGTGTCAAAAAACTTGTGCTGCGGAGTCGTGGGAAAAATAGAACAGTTTATTTTTAACCCTATCTGTACGCCCTGGGGGTCATTTTGTACCCCGAGTTGTATTCTTCACATTTAAGAATACTTCTAAGGCGAAGATCTCTTTGAAACTTTCAGTATTTCTCAAAAAATCATTTTGACAGGCTGCTATGCAAAGCGTACGGATCGGATAAACGAGTAAATTTCCTCTTTGGAAAGTGGTGGCACAGAGTTCCCCACGTTGTATGGAAACTTTCACTTTTTATCCACAGCTTATAATTATATCTTTTTGGGTGTCTCGAGAAGAAAGACATCTCTCTGTCGCCAGCCGGAGAGCTTAGGTCAGGGGGATGCCATAAGGTGTTAATGTTCCCCTGATTCCATTTATCCAGGTCTTTCTCGGTCACCCTCTAGCCTTGTTGCTATCGAAATTTGTATGTAGGTACATTGTCCTGGATGGTGTGTTGTATCGTAGTAAATAAGTTTATTCAGTGTTTAAGGCCATTAGCCCACATCACATCATATAAAGCACTCATTTGATAAGTAAAATTTCCTTAATG